GGTCTTGTGGGGGGGTTTGCTGCGCGGGGGCAGCGCTTCCTCGTCGCCGTCCAGCCCCGGGGACGCCTTGGCCCAGGTGACCGAGGGGGACCCCCCGCTGTGCTTGATCACCAGCTTGGTGGGGTGCAGCGGGGGGGGCGCCGGGGGCACCTTCAGGCTCTCGGGGGTCGGGGACGCGCTGGGGACCGAGGCCGCGGGTGCTGAGGAGGGGCCGGAGCGGGAGGAGGAGGAGGAGGAGGAGACGAACTCATCTGGAGGAGGAAGAGCAGGGGGGTGAGCACAGCAGGGTTGGGATTGATCCCACGGGAACAGATCCAATGGGTTGTGTTAATACTGATACACTGGATGTGCTCCAGAACGCACCTCGGGTGTGTCGATGCGTGTGGGTGATCCCATCGTCATACATCACATTATCTTACAGTAATATTCATTACATTATATAAATCAATATTAATATACTGAATATGCTTCAAAACACACCTTTTAGATCATACATCTTTCAACAGATATACTTAAAAAATAAACTTTAAAATATATACTTAAAAAACATGTTTTAAAACATCATACATAAATACATTCATATTTAGGATTAATTCAATACTAATATATCAAATTAATCCTAAAATTAAACATCCATCTTTCAAAATCTCCATATTTCAAAATACGTATTTTTCAATGTATCTACTTTAAAAAACACCATGTTTCAAAATAAAGATGTTTCATAATAAAGATGTTTAAAAATATCTGGTTTTCAGACATTCCACTCCTGCTGGGATGGGTTATTTCTTCCCCCTTCTTCCCTCCCAAGAACTTCCACCTTGTGGAAATCCCATCCCTGGGGCCTGATGTGGTAATTAAACCCAAACTTTTAATTAAGGGCCTGGACACTGTGGGTTGAACACAGTTTGGCCCCCACAGAGCAGGGAACACTGACCCTTCCAACAGCTTTTCCCCCAGATTCCCAGTGGAACCAGCTGGCATGGAGACCTCCAGCCCAGCCTCTGGAGAGGAGGGGAAGAGCAAAATCCGAGCCAGTGGTGGAGAAACAAGGGGAATAATTCTCCTCCCACCTGGCTTCTCCTTGGCCAGCTGCTTGTCCAGGGCCAACATGGTCTTCTCCTCCTGGATGAACATGCGGTCGATCATCACCATCTCGGCAGAGGGGCTGACCCGCTGCAGGAGGGGGGGAGGAGGGGGAGGAGAGGGATGGGAAGGAAGAGCATCCATGGTCACACACCTTAACACACAGTTCATGGAACCACGGCGTGGTTTGGGTTGGAAGGGACCTTCAAGATCAACCAGTTGCAACCCCCACTAGACCAGGTTGCTCCAAGTCCCATCCAACTGCCCTCGAAGACTTCCAAGAAAGGCCTTGAACACTTCCAGGCTTCCACAACCTCCCTGGGCAACCTGTTCCAGTGTCTCAACGCCCTCACAGCCAAGAATTTCTCCCTCAAAGTTCATCTCCATCTCCCCTCTTCCAACTGGAAGCCATTCCCCCTCATCCCATCACTCCTGCCCTTGTCCAAAGCCCCTGGAGCCCCTTCAGGCACTGGAAGCTGCTCTAAGGTCTCCCTGGAGCCTCCTCCTCTCCAGGCCCAACACCCCAACCCTCTCATTCTGTCCTCCAGGATCTTCCCATCCCATCCACCAGGAGCTCCAGGTAGAGATCGATCCCAAGAGCAGCCAGAGTTGCCAGCAGGGGGGAGGAAAAGCTTCCCCATCTCCACCCAAACCCCGAGCTGGATCCCAGCAGCTGGAATGGTGCATCCAGAGGGACTCACCCGGGACTCCTCCAGCAGGAGCAGGCGGTACTTGTTCAGCATGGCCTGGGTGCGCTTCAGCAGCTGCGTCGACACCGCCTCAAACTCCTCGTCCACTGCCGGGAGAGGAGGGAAGGGGTTGGGGTCCCAAGGGGTTGGGGTCCCAAGGGGTTGGGGTCCCAAGGGGTTGGGGTCCCAAGGGGTTGGGGTCCCAAGGGGTTGGAGTCCCAAGGGGTTGGAGTCCCAAGGGAAGGGGTTGGAGTCCCGAGGAAAGGGGTTGGAGTCCTGAGGGAAGGAGGATTTAGGATTCACTGTCTCACTGGGGAGACCCTCAAAAAAAGGGGCTCACTCTCATGTTTAATTGCCAAGAACCCCCTGGTTGAACCACTTCCCAACACTGGAATGTTGCTTTGAGCTGCTCCAGGGCAGGAACCCTGGAAAAGGTCAATGACACCTTGGGAATTTACTTTTCTAGAGTGAAGGATCATTTCTCCATTGTTTTTCGTGCTAAAAACTCCCCTGTTCTGTAAAGCTCAGTCCACTACCCTCTCACCACAGCAGCCCTGTGGCATTCCCAAGGGATTTACCCTTCCTGTAGTCCTGGGCTGAGGGCAGCATTCCCTGGTAGACGTGGTAGGGCAGGAGCCGCTGCAGGGCGTCATCGAAGGAGCGGAACGGCGTCTTGTAGTCGGGATGCAGCACGGAGCCCTGGTGCTTGTGCAGCTGCTCCAGGAAGCTGGGAGGCAGGAGAGGGAAAACCTCTGGAGTGGGGTTTGAGGACAGGGAATCCCCCGTGCCCAGGGTTAAGGGCATCACGTGGAATGGGGCTGGCTCTGGAGCACTCACCAGGCTTCCTTGCTGGGCTGCAGCGTTGGGGCCTTCTTCAGAGCCAGCTGCTTGTCGAACTGTGGGAGAGGAACACGCAGTGAGGGGGGAATGCTGCCTCTTTTGGGGGTGTTTGGCCTCTTCTGGGGGAGATTCGGCCTCTTTTGGAGGAGATTTGGCCTCTTTTGGGGGTGTTTGGCCTCTCTTGGGGCTGTTTGGCCTCTTTTGGGGGTGTTTGGCCTCTTTTGGAGGAGGTTTGGCCTCTTTTGGGGGTGTTTGGCCTCTCTTGGGGGAGATTTGGCCTCTCTTGGGGGTGTTTGGCCTCTTCCAGGGGTTACTTGGCCTCTTTGGAGGGAATCTGGCCTCCTTTGGGGTGAACTGAGCTTCTTTTGACAGAATTGAGCCTTTTTGGAGGGAACTGAGCCTCTTTTGGGGGTTATTTGGCTCCTTTGAAGGGAATTCAGCCTCTTTGCAGGGAATTCTGTCTCTTTCAGGGGTTATTTGGCTTCTTTTGAGGGAATGTGGCCTCTTTGGAGGGAATTCGGCCTCTTTTGAGGGAATTCCACCTCTTTCAGGGAGAGTCTGGCCCCTTTCAGGGGGAATTCCACCTCTTTTGAGGGAACTGAATCACAGGAGGGAAACATTGGGGCCTGGCAGCTGCTCTGGGTGGAAAGAAAATGGATCAACTTGGTCTGGAACTGGGGGAAAGGCCAAGAATAAACCTCCTTCCCCCCAAGGATGAGGCGGGACGGTCGCCAGGCTGTCCCCACCACCCTCCTCATGTTGTGTGGGGACAATCCCATGGGATTCCAGCTCACCAGCTGCTGGCTCTGCACCGGCACCGAGGGCACGAGCTGTGGCAACCCCTTCCCAACCACCTGGATCTGCAGGGGGCCCTTCCCGAGGTTCAGGCCTGAGACGGAGCTGATCACGCCGGGCTTCGTCTGGGGGGGGAAAAAAAATGGGCAGAAATGGGTTTATTTAGAGTGATTCCAGCAAATCCATGGCCAAAACAAGCCGTGACAACGTGCCAGGATGACTCTGGCCAGTGGCAGGTGTCCACGCCCAAGTCTGGGCTGAGTTTTGTTGACTAAAAATAGAATTATTCCAGTTTGTGCCTCCAGAAATCCACACCAACAGTCCCCACATCCCACTGAGCCGTCGGGACGGACCCGACTCTCCTGGGGAGGAGGAGCAAAGCAGCCCCCCTGCCCGAGAGTTGAACCAATCTTGGTGGGAATTGTTCATTTTGTATCATCTCCAGAGGTTCTCAGCACTTAAAAAGCTGAAAAAAAACATGTTTCTGGGAATTAATTCTTCCTTTTCGAGGGAACGGATGGGGAATTCCAGCAGATTTTCTCACTCTCAAGGTGGAAAACTTCTGGAATAAAGTGGAAAAGCAAGAGAGGAGCTTCCTCACCTGGACTGGCTGCTGAATGGCAAGTGGTGTTCCTGCCTTCCCCGAGGCTGCAGCCCCTTTCCCAGAGGGAATGGGTGTGGAGACACTGGAGAAGGTTTTACTGTCGGCAGGAGCTGGGGCCGTGATACCTGCTGGGGGCAAAGAGATATGGGGGGGGTGGGTTTGATCTCAGGGAATAACCCAAAGGATCAAGGTCCATCCAAAGAGTGGGAATGGGCTGGGATCCTGGCTCCCTGCACGGAGCTTCCCCCCACCGCCCCGCTCGGCACAGGCGGCAGCCGAGCGTTCCCAAAACAAGGGTGCTGGGATGCTGGTGCTCTGGGATGTCTGGGCACTGGGGCAGTCCTGGTCTGGGATGCCTGGGCACTGGAATACTCATGGTCTGGGATGTTGCTGTACCGGGACGCCAGCATGCCAGGCTGCTCATACGCTGGGATGCTGGTGCTCCGGGATGCCCTGCACTGGGATGCTGGTGCTCCAGGATGCCCTGCACTGGGATGCTGGTGCTCTGGGATGCCCTGCACTGGGATGCTGGTGCTCCAGGATGCCCTGCACTGGGATGCTGGTGCTCTGGGATGCTGGTGCTCTGGGATGCCCTGCACTGGGATGCTGGTGCTCCGGGATGCCCTGCACTGGGATGCTTGTGCTCCGGGATGCCCTGCACTGGGATGCTTGTGCTCCGGGATGCCCTGCACTGGGATGCTGGTGCTCTGGGATGCCCTGCACTGGGATGCTGGTGCTCCGGGATGCCCTGCACTGGGATGCTGGTGCTC